CATGATATGTGAACTTTTGGACGGTTGGTTGCGAAACCATCACCTACCATGGACATGTAAGGAAACGGACAAAATGACCCCCATGATTGACAGTCATCACATTTATGACCAATCGAACAACTCACGGTCATAAACGGCGTAAGAATCGAGGCTCCGGGTAGACATTTTAACACCCGACAACTAACAACAGCCTACGAATAAAGTGTCTGCGTGAGGACATTTATTGTTAGGGGGGGGGCAGATACGGCTGCGCGAGCAAACTTCACTTACTGTCCCCTAATCGAATCCGTGGCGGGGAACAATAACGTAGGAATTAATTAGGTCATCTCCATGTAAGTTATTGGATATACATTAACGACGAAGGTGCAAATGTCTGGTGTGGCAAGCGAACAAGAAGATCGCAGTGGCTTGCGTCAATGGGGGAGACAAAAGGGTTCTGTGCACCCTAAAATTGTATATAAAGGGGTCCGTATGAACATAAATTTTCATTCATAATCTGTTGCAGATAAGGAATAGCAACAAGATGCTGACAAGTATCCTCCAGTTTGTCGTTCTGTCAGTGACCTTTCAGTAAGTCAAGACCCAAGGCGTGGAGCAAAAGTTAAAATATATGGGACTACTTTAGTCATTGGGAACGAGTACCGGCTGAAACGGTTAGGTAGGGCAGTGATCCGTGAGTATTTGGGCGAACTGCGGTTTGCTCGGCCGGAGCTCCCCGACAAAAAAACGCAAATTAATGCAACAACTCGGCAAAAATCATGCTGGCAGCCTTTACCTGGTGATTTCGAGAAGAACAATCCCGGTGCACGCATGTGGTACAATAAAACAGAAATGTCCGAGGACTGCCTCTACTTGAACGTCTGGACGCCAGCCAACCGCAAGGCCCCAGAACTTCTGCCAGTTATGGTCTGGATCTTTGGAGGCGGTTTCTACAGTGGATCGGCCAACCTTGACGTATACGACGGAAAGATTCTCCCTGGCAAGGAGAAGGTCGTGGTGGTTTCAATGCAGTACAGAGTGGGCCCCCTAGGATTCCTCTGTCTAGAAGAGGGCAAGCACAGGAACCCACCTCTGGCGGCATGTAACATGGGCCTGATGGATCAACAAATGGCGTTGAAGTGGGTGCATGAGAACATAAAAGCATTTGGGGGTAATAAATCTCAAGTGACTCTCTTCGGAGAGTCGGCCGGCAGTGCAAGCGTCAGTCTGCAATACCTTTCGAGGGAGTCCAGAAAATACTTCCAGCAGATGATTATGCAAAGTGCCAGCGTGTACAACCGATGGGCATTTATTTCAAAAAGCGAGGCCTACGAGCGAAGCGATGCGGTAAGTAAAGTACATTCGCGATGCCTCCCCTTCTTTGTTCTCTGTAGAGGACAGAATAGTATTTCCTTCGAATAACGGTCAGCATTTGGGTTTTATTGCCACTGCAATATTTTAAACATGTACACATGTCCCTCTTTTCTCCTTTCGTATCCCACTTTCTTTTTTTAATTGAAAAAAGAAACCTACCGACATAATTTAAACCAATCAACTTGCGATCAAGATATTAATTTGATTGCTTTCATGTTAGATATGCAATTAAAAGAAAATTAGAGCTGTTTTTTTT